AAAAAAGCTTAAGCAAAACCTTCTTTTTCGAATCAGAGGCTGAAGTAGTCAAAATGCTACTTCGTAAGGTAATTGGACACACTGATTAGGAAAATCAATGCATTCCCTGCGATAACGCTTTACTTTGGGATCAAGGTGGTTATAAGTTACACTTAGCTGAAAAGGAAAGATTGAACAACTTTATGCTTAGAAAATCGCTCTGTATTGGCAATAGATATGATTTTCGCAATCAAACTAAAATAATTCCAGCAAACCACTTTTCGAGTAAATCCGCAATTTAGACCCCAACATAACCAAACTCCCCTGAGTAGTAGAATAGTGACTTCCTATTTTACATTATAGAAAATTAAGCTGTTGGTTGAGCTTTTTTTTGATCCTCTAAACTTTCAATTTCAACTATTTCTACATTAGAAAATCAAAATCATCCGACAAGACAAAACCGCCTTCGTGAATAGTACTTCTACTTTCAATTATACGTAATATCTTGCCAAAACTTTCGGCTTCTTAAGAATTTTGAAAGCTTGAAAAAAAACGAACTTCTCCAACAACTAAATACTATGCTGGATAGTGCAACCGACTTTTTTTGATTGCATTATGTGATTCAATGGATGTACTTTTCTCATGTCTACGTAAGAACTGCTGCATTATGATTTGGAAGCAATTACTATGTTTTTTAAGTTGCCCTGTGATCCAAATCAGAATATAGCAAAGTTATTGGCTGAATGTAATATAAACTTATAGATTAGATAGAATTACCTGTCGTACATCAAAGAAATAGGATGGAATTTCTTGAGTTGAGATTGGAAACATGAAGGAATATTAGCAATGTTTATAGTAGTGAAGTTACTGCGTAAGAGTAAATTTATAGCTCACAATATTATTGCAAGTTTACGTAAAAGATTTATATTCACTAGTTTAGCAATCAACACAGTGTAGACAAGTACAAAAGAAGAGCATATGTGTACACAGGAGCACAAAGGGGCAAGCCAAAATCTTCTTTGTTGAAAAACAAAAATAGAAAAACCCACAGAAAACTCAGATACTAAAAGAAGAGATAAGGATTTCAGAATGATACACAAAACATTCAAACAAACATTTCAAAATAATAAGGCAAGAAAGAACTTTCTTGCCTTATTATTTTCTTTTTAGATTTTCTGATTTTCAGAATATCTTGAGTTTTTTTGTACACTTGATCAATTCTATGAAATTGCCAATAAATAATAATAGTATACCAAACTGAAGCGACATTTCGTCACATTTAAGTCTTTAAAAATATTTTGCTTGAGCTTTATTTCTCTCGTCCTATGAAAAAGGATCAAAACGAATTCATAGATTGTAATTTTAGAGATAAGTGATCAAAGAAGAACATTTCAACTGAGGCGAGTGAAACAGATAAGTTGCATATTGTGTGCCTAAACTTCAAATCAGCAACCAGTCAAATTACCTTCAAGAGCGACCAAAGCACATTTTATTTCATGCCATAACACAAGTTTACGATACGTACGCCTATGTCTTGTTTTTTACAAAATTTAATTATGACCGAAATAACTGGGTTTGGAGTCTAAAGAGATAGGTTTAAAAGGTCGAGTTGCTGAGATATTTGTAAGTTTATATGAGGATGTTTAGAAGAACTTTCTTCCACAATGCTTTGTTACAAATTTCTGCTTCAAACTCAATGATATTCTCCCTTTGACTATAAACAAGACTAAGACCAAATCAAAAGAAATTTACTAAAATAAAGGTAGCTAACACTTTAGAAAATATTTGGCTTACCTTTATCAGCCAAGTAAGAATCCGTAATGATAGCTAATAAACTAAGGCAAAAGATCATTATCTCGACTCGAGCAGTCGATCAGATCGCCGAAATTAGGCGAGCGATTTGCGTCGGGTCATCTGCTGTATTTCACGTTGATGCGTCACAAAGTACTTCTGTCTTGAAAGTGAAGAGGTGGATGGCCACTGGGAATGAGTTTTCGTCGTTTTCGTCGTCGTCGTCGTCGCTGCAAAGGTGGCGCCGACGGGGCCCGCCCACTCTTTCCCGAGAGAGGGCTGCCTCTCCGAATCAGCATTATTACTGGCGAAAAACCCTGTCGCTGCGACGACGCCACCCCCTGGCAAAAGGGCGAGGTAATTGCAGCACTCGGCGAGCGACGTCGCGAACTTTGGCACTAGACGTTTTCCGACTTTTTGGCGGAATAGCGCGTTGGTTGCAGGCCGCGTTCAAAGTCCTGCAAGAAGCAGGAAACAGGAAATGAGCTCGGTACACAACATCATCGATCTATTTTCAAGTACATCTACTCATTTATGTATTGTCCAACTTTCTATGAGAAATATCGAGGAGCCACTGCAAGAGCTTAATGTTGTCAAGTTTCCTGTGGAGAAAAAAAAAAAACTTTGCAGCAACAAATTTCGCGCTGGAATGGAGGAATATCAGATACGTGCAAAGTGCAGGCCAAGGATTGAAATATTGCTAGAAAAGAAGCTAGGAAATCCGAAGAGCCGTGTGAATGGGATAGAATTCCTACTCTGTGGTTGAGTACGTCTAGAAAGAGAACTGAGAATTACAGTCTCACTTCCACTTATCTGTAGCTAAAAATTTAAAACATCAGATCATTAGAAGATCGAATGAGAGGTCCCAAAAACATGAGCTTGAAAATTGTCTTTTTAGTAAAATAATTGTAGTTTCACATCCTCAAGATGTCTATAACAGCCTTGCTGCCCTTATGCTTTGAGCACATGTTTCCCATTTGCCATAAAATGTTGTGCATTTTCAAGTATTCATGTTTTTGTTTCAATTTCAATTTCGTTGAAAACTGTGCAATCATCGCATTATACACATTTGGCTGATATGAAAACTCCTATCTATTCTAAATGAGAATCACATGAAAGTCAAATGAATGAAGCGCTATCTGAGCGAACTGTGAATCTGAAATGCGTAATGAAGGAGATCATAACGATAAGTAAACCCAAGCAACTGCAGGCATATTCTGATTCGATGATATTGAATGATCCGAGATCGATCCTTAATTATGTGACAAATATGCATGTAGACACAATTTGGAAAAAATTAGAAATTTTAATTTTAGATCTTTTGAAAGGGTTTA